AAGACTTATACTCTGGAAATCAAACCATCCCAGACGTATGAATGACATTAATTAAAAGTTTCTTAAATCACTTTTATATTAATTCCACCTTCGTTTGTAGCGTAAATATTGTAAAATTAAAATCTCTACGAAATACGAAAAATAAAAACTAATAAAAAATAAAGAAAAAAAAAAAAGAATGCAATTGAAACCTCAAAAATAAAATGAAGCAATTAAAAGAATTAAAAGCCAAACCATATATTTGCTTTTCATTAATTAAGTTGCAGAAAGGACACAACTGCAAAGGATTGCACATCAGCGCAATTAAAGCGACAATGCTTGCGGTTAATATTGCAAAAATCCTGTGCGATTGTTGAAAATTTTATATTTTTTTTATATATAGGATATATAGAGTAGAGTACATATAAAAGCAGATACATATATATATATGGCCGCTGCAATGTGTTTCCTTTTATATTGTATGAACACACCTCAGAAAAAAAAAAGCGAACAGATGAAATGGCACGGAAGAAATAGCATCTTTAATTTTAATAGTTCTTTACGGAAAACTGAGAAAAATGTACAATGGCTGGGAGTGCAGTAATTACAATGATGCCAAAGTTGAAAATTAACTTTATAACGATTTTATCATCTTGTAATTTGGTTGTAATTGCTTGACAGCAGTAAATTTTTTGAGGTGGACTTTTAGCAATGGCGGAAAATCAATTAAAAAAAAAAACAATATTTTAGGTTATAAATTGAATAAAAATATATTAAACTAAGAAATAGATCTTCATAATAATAGTTGAAGACAGATCTCCATAATAAAAGTAATAGTTAAGTGAGCTTATATACAAAAATAGTTAAGGACCTTCTAGCTACTCCTGAGAGAAGTTGACCTCGTAATAGATATTAAGGTTTCGCTATTTATGGTTTCACTATGGAAGCTGACCTCGTAACAGATATTAAGGTTTCGTTTTTTATGGTTTCACTATATAACAATAGGTCTATAGTATGTATAATTTACATATTGATATGTTGTAGTTTATTGCCTGTTTCGTTTTTTGTTTTATTATTTAGAATTCTATCAGCTTCCAGAAACGAACAGTGAAACGCATTTATTTAGAAATGTTTGCAAATATGTTTCACTGTTAGTGTATAATATACGTCCAAACAGATAAATTTAACCTTAATCTGTATACAAACAAAGTCTTGGAGATTATATAAAGTATATTATAGTTCAATATATGCTAGCGAAGCAATACTTGACTCTCTCACCCTATTGTCAGATATCTAGGTTTGTCTAATTTGGATAAAAAACACACTAGTCAGCTACTTTAACTAAGGCGGAACCTGCTTAGCACCACAGTATTTATGCTGACAGGCCACTACGAAATAGGAAGTCATGCTATGAAACTGACTTTTTGGATACAAGTCCATCATTGCAACCTATCTACCTTAATATATAAACTAAAAGATCACAGGTTTTTTTACTATAATATGTGGCTTACATTTAGGGAAGAGATCATAGTACAGATTGGACCAATAAATTATGAAAATATAGTGGAAAAGATAAGAGCAAACCCAAAGAACTGGTGAACGTAAGAGACGTATGTAATTCAAGTCCTCAAAGCGAAAAAATTAGATTTAGAAAGGAGAAGCAGTAATATAGTCAAAAAATAGTACAGACATCAAGAAAATACGGTAAGATAATGAAGGCCTGGGCATAGAACGAAAATCAAAAAAACATAGCGTGAAATGTCGTCATAAAAAAGACCCTTTTCGAAGTAATGCGAAAGCGGTTTCGACAAGAAATAAGTCTCTCCGGTGGTTCCTTTGTCGACATACTACATATTAGTATGGTAGGGAGTCTGACACACTTTATCAATGACGGTCGATCGGATGGGGCATAAAGCATTCCACTTCTTCACCACAAAAACAAAAAACAAATTCCCATTGATATATTGATATATAGCACATCCCAGTAATTTATATATGGCAATCATACTACAATAATTTTCGATTGTTTACTAAAATATTTTTGTTTGTTTTATGTAAGTCTTGTTATTTCAATAATTATAATTGAGAAAAAAAAATTTCCCCAAAAAGTAAAGAATGTAAGGATATGAACTTTTTTAGATAAATGTGCCAGAGACCAAGAAATTGTTTTGTTTGTGCGGTTTTCACGCTGGTGGTATAATCGGTCCTTATTTCTTTCGAAGTGAGAAAACATCGACGATATTTGGTTTCAACAAGATGGCACAACTTGGCAACTCCTGAAGTATTGGAAGCCACCATTGACACCATATGGCCACATTTATTGGAAAAATAGTTAAAAAATTGGACTAATCGAATGGACAATGTAACTCGTAGCCGCGGTTGACATATATCGAAAATCATATACAAAAAATTAATGCCTTGAAATTATCTACCAGATTATAATTAAAAAAAATTCATTTCAATAATTTTGTCTGGTATTAATATTTTAAGGTCTCATGCAGCTAAATTTTATGCACTAAATTATACACTAAATATACACTAAATAGTGCCCTTTTTTGTTCCTGAGAGCAGAAAAAATACTTATTTAGTTCAAATCTTTACGAAATGAAGCTATATTCTTCATAATAGAAAGGTATTAATATATAACTTGTACAATTATTAGTTAAATCTCATTCCCTTAAATTATAACAAATATTTATAAAAGTGAATGACATTG